CGCCTCAGCACTAGCCGAGCTAGTCTTTTAGCAGTTCAAAATCCTTCAAAAATTAGCTTCAGAGAGTAGCCCAGTTAGTCGGTAACCAAAAAACAACAAATAGTCTAGCACCACCTTACAGACCAACCAAACATATAGAGGGTATCATGAGCTTTTGTGGGTACCAGCTACATGTGTTGGTCTTTCAGGTGCTGTAAGACATATTAAGTTTTTTTTTTAAATTAGATTGGGGCTATTCAACTGAAAAGGTGCAAGTATGAGTGAATTGACTGTAAATTACTTGTAAAATCTGCCTCTTTCCACAGAAAGGTACATTTAAAGAGATCCTACTGTATTTTTCATGTACATTTGCTACACTTTGATTATTAGGTACACTTTCACATTGCTTAACCTGTCTCGTTAGCTGTACTGTCTCTAGAAGAATAGCACCCCAACAGCCTTTTGGGTTGTAATACAGCTCTTCATTTACACAGCAAGCAGTCCCAGAAAACTTTTTCAGCGATTATCCATATTATATCCACTGTCCCTCAGCACTTTTACACCATTCTAAGTTACAAAAACTGGACTCTCCCTTTTCCCACCCTTTCTTCCAAAAAAAGCATAATGCCACATCAGTTTAGGCTGTCCTTGGGTCCATCTTACACCTGGAAATACAATTTTATTTGACCAGCTCCTTGAGGATAAGAGATATCAGGTTTTAAGAATTAGTTCCACAGAGGACCTCTTGGCATGTAAAGAAAGGATTAAATGAAATGTTAAATAAACACTATAAAATTGACTCTCCATCATCTATAGATCTCACAGTGCATTATTTGGGGGAGGAGGGAAAAAGGAAACACTGGAAAGTAATTTATTTAGACCAGCGGTTCTCAAACTTTTTGGGCTCCAGAGCCCTTTACATGCGTAAAAATTTATGCAGAGCCCCAGCGGTCCACTGATTTTATGTGTTGTACCTGTGGATGTTTACAGTTTGTCAACCTCGCGGAGCCCCTAGAGATGTCTCGCGGTGGAGCACAGTTTGAGAAACACTGATTTAGACAATGTCTCAGGATTCCAGCCCATCATCCAAACAGAATAAACCAGAAAAAAAATCTGCTAATTCACTGCATCTGAATAGGAATAAAGGGGGGAGTAGCACACTGGTAAAGGAACATTACATTTGACCTAGACATAATCTTCATTAAACCTTAAAGCAGCAGCTCTTTATAGTTTTAAATGATCATCTTTTTAAAAAATGTTTTGTTGAAATGCTTTATTCACAGTTTGACATTTTAATTAATCTCTTCACAATCACTCTCAGAGTGCTGTTTGCAGCACTTAAGTCTTTTAAATCTGTATTTTTTTAATTGTGAGGTAAAAGGAATACTTTAAAAAAACAGCAAAAGCTGTGTTGTATTTCAGTGTACCTCAAACATGTTGGAGACATTTTCAGTTGCTTCTGACCATACAAAAGCACATAAATCATAGATGAAATAACCTAGAAGGTAAGCTAGTCCATCTCCTTGCCAATAGAGAATTCAAAACAGGGAGTACATTGCAAATCAATCTTTTCCATCATCATATTACTCCACAGCCACACAAACCATCCCTGTTAAGAACCTCTAGTCTACATGTCATCTTTAAACCCTACTGAGTAGGAAACACATATTGGTCATAGTCCCCATGTATCCTCAAGGATACATCCCAGAATCCTTAAGCTAAGGCCCTCCCCATATTCCAAAGCAGAATGGGAAGCTGCGCACACAGGTTGAGTTTTACACTCATTTAGGTGTAAAACCTAGCTGGCTTTAGCCAAGTTCTCTCCCTGTCTCAGATGAGTTCTTTTTAACAAGTTATTTGATTCACAGCTATTTTTTTCTCCACACCCCCTCAAAAGAGAGACACGTGCCCTTCCTGTCTTCAATACTATAGAGAGGGCAAGCAAGTAAAAGATGTTACGGGCTAGTAAAAGTTCTTCCTCTAGACAGCATGGCTGACAGTCTATTTTGCTACAGCTCTTTGAGAGCCACCAGCAGATGCATGAAAACCTGGAACAAATAGGCAGGGAGGGCAAAGTAGGGGGGAAAAATCTACAGGAAAATGATTTATGAAGAATATTTTTTCCACAGCTCATAATATGTCTCCACCATAAACAATTCTTTCCACACTGAATGGCAATAGCATGCTTCTTTGGAAGAGTTGATTACCCATGTTACTATGAATAAACAAATCTCATTGAAATGACAGCAAGCACAGGGTCCAGGGCAGATTTAAGGAGAACTGGGTTGCTTTGCCTCAGCTGACTCATGAGGTGACCACATGGAAGTTAATTCTCATCAACTGCTTATTACAAAAGTTCCCAGAGATGCAAAGTGTCAGGCAGCAGAAATAAGAGAGGGGACACTGTATTCCCTTCTCCATTTTTAGTGGTGGGAGGCAAGACCATCCTGAGACATTATCTTCTTCAGTGGCATTTACAGAACTAAAAAGCCTCATAATACCCAGCGTCCGCCCTTTGGATAGTGCCCTGGGAATATAAAATCTTGTACCAATTCTGCATCACCAGTGTGGAAACCCACACACAGTGAATTCCTCTGTCCAAGCAGTTGTGTTATTTCTAACACTGTTGATATTCACTCTCACAAGGCCTACCCAGGTCATGCAGACACTGTACACAATCTTTCGAGGAAGTCCATTCTTTTGTTCTCCAAAGCCTGAAGAAAGCCCTGAATTCTCTCTTCCCGCAGGGCAGTGCATTTCTGCAAGAGTGTCCATCGGCGCTGAGAATCTCCATGGCATGCAGACCCTTCCTGTTGCAGTTTATTTGTTACATAAGCCTGGTCACTTTCCAGCTGTTGCCGCTTCCTTTCCTTCATGTGCAAATCTCTGGCTTTCTGAAGTGAAAAGCAAGAGTATTAGTACTTTATTGGCCCTTTCAGCTCCTTCCTCTTTCTGCGGTGCTGACACATGGCAGAAATGGCTGCAGCAAAAATTAGTCTCTGCTCAATTTAACTATCAATTTGTAGATTAAACCAAAAATAGGCCCTATGTGAATCTCCTATATCGTTAGGTATCAGTTGGGTTGACTGGAGAAACTATAGGGAAATCCTTGAGCTTGGATTTAGAAAAAAGTCTCCCCAAAACTTAATAGAAAATAAGCTTTCCTCAAAAAATGATTCTAACTTTGGGGTGGTGACAACGAAATGGCAAAGATACAAAGACAGTGCTATCCTTTCAAGTAAACCACAAGACAAACGGTAGCCCCAGCCCACTCCAGTGAGAAAGTCCATACATGAGATTTTAGATGCCAGGATAACTCTTCCAGTTAGTAACGTGTGAGGTAACTCTCCTCATGTGTTTGGATGAACCATTCAGGTGAGGTATGTTCCACAAGCATAGTGTTGCCTGTAAGACATGCACAGATAACTGAACGCTTCCACATAGGATTTCTGCCTCTGGAGAGAGAGAGATGTGGTATCCATTTACCAGGAAGAACCTGATATTTTGATTTTAAGGGAAGTGAATTGGATTAATCACTCCTTTATCATTTCTACTACCCCCTCCTCACTTACTACAGCTGCCGCACTACTACACACAAGTACAATGAACCAGTTCCCAGTCTTTCTACTGAACTGTGGACCTTCTGCAGAGCAATTAATGGGATGTTCTAAAGCCTGAAGATGCATCATCTGCAATTGGAAGGCCCCTGCCTTTAGGCTGTGCACTCTACACTTTAAACAGCAGATGACATGGTGAGGCACGCCTTTGACATGTTCCTTTGCTAGCTGTCAAACCCTCAACTGTACTAGCACTTCTGTGCTCCCTCTGTCTCCAAAAACTGTCCTGACAAAACAAACCTCCCCAGCCGATAAAATACACTCTCATCTAGCAGAAGTCAAACCACCAAAACCCCCACATCTTTACAGACACTCTTCTTTCACACCATAATTTATTGCACACTTATACAGACCTTCCTGGGCCTTGGATGGGACTTTTTGCCTGCGCCCTCAGCCCAGCAACTTCCTAAGTTTCTGCAGTTCTTTTAAAGCAGTGACACTCAGATCTCAGTGATTCTGATCAACATCACTCAAAAGAGCTGCAGTAGTGTGAAATCCTTGCTTCGTTTACTATTTATTTTTTCCTTCCCCACTTAGCAAAATGACTGACCAAGTAGTCTACATTTGATTAATGACATGGTGAAAGCATCCTGACCGGTAAATCATTAAAACACTGTGTGCACTGCTCCCACAAAGCCTGAATGCTCAGCCAAGAGCATGTACAACTCTCAGTATCCAGGCCTGGAAATCTAACTGCATTTTCATGTAGCAACGAGCCTCCAAAGATTAAGGGTGCCCCAAGTAATCTTGGTTATTCGATTAATTAAGGCAATAGCAGCTCTTCTTAAACAAGAATATGAGCGACAGTGCTGGTAATGGAAAAATACTGAATTCCCTTAAAATGTGGTCTAGCGCAGTAACTAATTTTAAATCGAGTAGCTTGTAGTTAACCATGTTAGTTCGTAATATATAGGAATACAACCAAGTAAAGCCAAAAACAAGGAAATTCACACAAGTTTTGGCGAAGATCTCTAACCACAGAAACATTCGCAACTAATTTCTGGTTGCCATGGGATAAACTCAGTATGTGTGAGTGCTAACATCATTGAAACTATTTATGACAGCTACCCACAGTCAGTTTCACTCTTGGCTGTTTTAATAACCCATACTTAGTTAAATCAATCTAGGTAAAGAAGAAAACCAAATTGAAAGCAGAGATCATTCAAACGAATAGAATTGCAGTAAAAAATATTAAATTTTATATTTTCAACAATCTGCATATTTGAAAGGGACAGGATAAGAACATTCCCAGGGAGTGGGGAGCTTACATGTTAATACCTCGAAGTTGGGGTTTGCCCCTTTCAAACATGGTGGGCTATCATGAAAATAAATAAGGCATTAAAGCAATCCAGTGAGATTAGGAGAATTTGTTTACATTTTTCATGACAGATATAACCCAAATTACATGATCAATGACAAGCTGAGGCATTTTGGTTTGTTTTTTTTTCAAATTCTCATTACTGGAGGAAGTTGTGGTATGTAAGCGCTGCTCAGAATCCCAAATTTGCTGCATATTTCTGTTAAAATCGGCATTAGATAATGAGTTAACGGTATTGCAATGTCATTAAGATTCAGATGACCACCCTCACAAGGTGAACAGAGCTCGTCCCTAGTTGTCAGAGCTGTTTTTTATCTGCAAACTCAGGCAAACAGTATTGAATCAGGCCAGTTCAGCATCAACTCAGATTCTGTGCGCTAGGGGTTGGCAACCTCTCTGAAGTGGCGTGCCAAGATTTAACCCTCCTGCCCTGGGCTGCACTGCTCTCTTGGGAGGGCTCTCTCCACCGGGTGCCCCACTTGGTCTCCTGCCCAAGGCTTTGCTCCGGCTTTTCCTGTGGGGAGGGGAGGAATAGCATGCACATGCTTCCCTGGAAGCTGGATGTGGCACGGAGTCTTGAGGTTACCCCCACAGGAAGCCGGTGCCGGCTCCAATCTTGCAGGGGGCACAGTGCTGGATTGCCAGCACTGGTTGGGGCTGGGTGGGGTTCAGGGAAATGGGCAAGGCAGAGGTGGGCGGGTGGGTGACTCCCTGGTGTCCAATTCTGATGGAGGCAGGGTCCACAGTGCCCTCGCCTTCCTGCCAGGAACCCAGGCGTCCGGGGCCAAGGTGGCTTTGGGGCAGGAGGACCCCCACATGTTTTCCTCTCCCCTCAGGCCACAGCCCGGGCAGCACTCACCCTCACTCGTGCCCCAGAGCGAGCTCCCCTCCTTCCTGCGGCTTCCTCCTTCCTGTTCCCCTGGAACAGCCCCATTCCGCCACATGGCCTGGCCACCCCCCGGAGCAGCCTTGGACCCCGAAGCAGCTGCTGGCCATGCAGCCCTGCCGGTCAGGCTGTGTGACTGCCGTGGAGCAGGAATTGGGGCTGTGGTGAGGCTGCCACAGGGACAGCCTTACTGCGACCTGGCTCCAGCTGCAGCACACAGGGAAGCTGCTGGCCATGCAGCCCCACCAGATGGGCCGCATGCAACTCAAAATGGGTTCACGTGCCATCCGTTGCCGATCCCCGCTCTATGTCATCATGACTATAAAAAGCTAGAAATTGCTGCATGAAACATTCCTCAGAAGCCACCCCAGCCACCAGACAAGTGCTGATTTGGTGTATCACTGTACTCATCCCACTACATCCCACACTGTTGTATGCGGCTGTTGAAACAGTGTCTGGCTAACCATAACATGGTTAATTTCAATGTTTCTAATCCTTACTGTCTACTTTACACACATGCTCTCCTAGCTTCCAGCACATTACTGTTCTGTGTAGACAGTATCGTCTAACTTGGGCTCTTCCTCTTTGTGCTCTTACCTGTAAATCGCTGTGGTTCACCTGGAACCGAAGGACAGCCTCACACAAGTTCCAGAAGGAATATTCTGGCCACAGCACAGACTGAAACACCAGGCATGAGTGGGAGGTCTGCAGAAAACAAGATCACCAAGAATGTAATAAGCAAGGGATGCAAGTCATCAAGAAGTGGCTGTGTCACAAGCTATGCCAGAGCTTCCCAGCCAGGGGTTCTCTTAGAATTCATCAGGTCCTGCCTGCATGTGTACACAAGGCTGTCTAGATACAGTATTCCAAGAATTACACCACAGACTGATGTATTTGGTTGGCTGTGTGAAATTTTAACAGGAACAGGCTGGGAAGAATTAAGCAACAATCATCCTTGAGAGGGAAGAACATACCCTCTGGAGGAAGAGGGTTTAACTTAAAACCACAACAGCCACGAAATATAGAGTCAGCTCAGCACTCTATTTTCACCTGCTGGTTTCTGCTATTGGGACTGCAAGGGTCTTCCATCCTTCACACAACATGCAGACTGGATCAGAGTGTTAACATCAGTCATAAGTGCAACTGCAGTTGGACCGCCTGGTCTAGCACACTCCAGACCTGACCGGTCCCAAAAGGAGGAGTTTGCCAGACCAGCAGAGGTCAATGCCAACCCCTCCAGGCTGCCAGCCCCAGCTCCCCTCTCAGCTGCCAGCCCTTCTGCCCCTGCTCCCAGTTGCCAGGGCTCTTTGGTCCAGCAACATCCGTGGACAAGGAATCCTGAACCAGAGAGGTAACCGAACACTATATTTGAGATACGTGGCGTAATGGTTATCCCATAGGCCTGAGAGTTAGGGTCTTTCCTGTCAACTCTTGCTTTTATCATCAGTGCCTTCTAAAGGGTTAATTCTTCTGCAAGGGTTTCTGCAAAATGTGGCTAATGCTTACCTTGCAAGGACTTGTTAACAGGGCTGTCCCTAGGGGGGAGCAGGGCCTGGGGCAATTTCCAGGCCCTGCTTCACCCCATACCTCCCAAGCCCCTTACTGCCCCTGGTCCGCCCTCTCCAACCCCTACTACACTCCTTCCCCGAAGCACTCTCCCCCGAGCTATGCAATGCAGCGATTACTAGGGGACCTGGTGCAGGGCAGCCTGGTCCTGTCCATAGGACAGTTGGAGAAGCTGCCGCAGGGCCCCCCCAAAGCACGGGGCTCTGCTTGTTAACATCTGTACAGTTCAGAAGATTTTAAAACATGATAATACATCTTAAGAATGTTACATTCTCCTTTTGTTGCACAGAAACATAACAATTAAGATTTCAACATTTCAAGTTAACACTAGAATAATTCTTGCCTTGAGGCTATTACAGGGTACAGGACACAACTCCAGCATCACCACTGCAGTGCACACAACCCTCACACCCATTTCGTAACTTCTCCGGAACATCTGAACCATTTCTTGGCCACTCCCTCTCATTCTCCGGTGTAGACAAGAAGTTGAACAAAATCTCATTTTTACCTGTGCAGACACATGGCCCAGAAGTATGCGAGACATGTATGTTTGGGTGACAGCTGTTGTGCCCTTCTGTTTTGCCATTCAGTTTGTTGTATGTCTACATCACATGACCACAATGTGAGAAGAAGCAAGAATTCATCTAGCAAGAACCTCCACCACTAATACTATTAGAAACTGCTGTTTTGGAAAACGTGCTGGTAAAAGATACCAGATTTACAAAAGACACTAAATTTAAGATTTTAAACCTGAAAGTGTCCTTTCAAGTGTCTATTTATAATAAGTGTTATAGGAATGAATATTTCCCACTGTCAAATTGGCTCAGGCTCTATGTGAAGGACAATCCTTTGCCTCTTTGGTAAGACAGTGAATGAAAGTAGCAAGAGCAGCATTCGCTTATGTTCATATCTGCCCAGAGTACACGTGTATCCCAAACTTCTGGAAAGAGGCAGAACAATTTAGAAGCAAGTCTCAACTCCGATTCGAGAACATCTGCAAACCTGTCATTTGTAGAACAAGTAATTGACACACGCTCAGTGGTGTTTGAATGCAGCAGGTAGTTTAGGAACCAAGTTCCACCCCCCTCCCTTCAATGTAACTAAGAAATACTTTGATTCCAACGTGCTGCTTCATTTGTTTCAGCCCAAACTTTATAACAGTGCTCCAGTATGTAAGAAATAGAAAAATAAAACAAGGAACTTATTGAATGTTGGTAATCAAAGCTGAATACAATTCATAAATGTAAAACTAGTTTTTTACTATTTATGAATGTAAATCAATCATGTCCTTTTAAAGCTTTTCCTCTGAGCATTCACAGCAAGAGCAGATGTGCATCACACATTCCTTCCATCACATCCCAAAGGTATATAGAATCTGAGGACTGGAATGAATCTGGAAAGGTCAAGTCCAGTCCCCTGCACTTAGGGCAGGACCAAGCACCATCTATTCTAGACCATCCCTTACAAGTGTCTATCTAACCTGCTCTTAAAACTCTCCAATGATGGCAATTCCACAGCCTCCCCAGGCAATTTATTCCTTAACCACCCTGTTTAACCATCCTGACAGTTAGGAAGTTTTTCCTAATTTCCAACCTAAACCTCCCTTACTACAGTTTAATCCCATTGAGTCTTGTCCTATCAGTAGAAATCAAGAATAATTTTACTCCCTCCTCCTTGTAACAACCTTTTAGGTACTTGAAAACTGTTATGCCCCCCTCAGTCTTCTCTTTTCCAGACTGAACAAACCTAATTCTTTCAGTCTTCTCTCATAGGTCATATTCTCTAGATCTTTTATCACTTTTGTTGCTCTTCTCCGGACTTTCTCCAATTTCTCAACATCTTTCATGAAATGTGGTGCCCAGAACTGGACACAATATTCCAGGTGAGGCCTAAGCAGCAGAGTGCCTTGCTCACAACACTCCTGTCAATGCATCCCCAAAACGAGGTTTACTTTTTTTGAGGTTTCTGTTACACTGTTGTCTCATTTAGCTTACGGCTCACTATAACCCTTCGATCCCTTTCTGCAGTGCTCCTTCCTACACAGTCACTTCCCATTGTGTATGTGTGAAACGGATTGTTCCTCCCTAAGTGGAGTACTTTGCATTTGTCCTTATTGAACTGCATCCTTTTTACCTCAGACCATTTCTCCAATTTGTCCACATCATTTTGAATTATCATCCTCTCCTCTAAAGCAGGGGCAGGGAACCCTTTTTTTTTTTTGGTTCGCAGCCACTGACCACAAAATCAGTCAAAGGCCACACACACATGAGAAGCAGGAAAAAAAAGCCCACAACTCACTGGTCTGGCTCCCAACAAGCTCGGGGCTTCCCCTGTCAGCAGGGTGAGCTAGTGGTCACGCAGAGTCTCAGAAACTTGCCACAGGAATGGAGCACAAGTGCCGGCTCGCCTCACTGTGGGAAAACTCCAGCCCTCCCCACCGGACCTGGTCCACATACCATAGGTTCCCCACCCCTGGCTCTAAAGCAACCCCTCACAACTTGGTATCCACAAACGTTCTAAGTGTATTCTCTATGCCATTATCTAAAGCGTTGAAGAAAATATTGAATAGAACCGGACCCAGAACCAATCCTGAATGTTAGTTGCCAGATTGGTTAGATCCCAGCCTCAGGTCATCTAAAACTAGGACTGACGTGAGTGAATGAACAAGGAAGGTATGGATCAGCCTATTCATCGACTTCTGAACTAGACTGGTATTTCTTATTTCAGATATACTCAGGACAATCAAGATCTCCAGTGTGTTGCACTGGAGTGTATTTTAAGCATCACAAAGTCAGGAGAGATGGTAAAACGCTGGCATATTGGGACTTAAGGAAGTTGCTGGTACCAAGGCATGACTGGTTTCTGAAGAGGTTCTCTCACTTCAGCTGACTCCTGGACAGAAGAAAGGCCTATGTAGTAGATGAAGGACTAAAACATAAGCCAGTGCAGCACAGGCCTGGTCTGAGGCCTAGCTAACAATGGACAAAACATGGTGAACATAAAGCACAGCTAAGCTGTGAGCAAGAGGCAGGCCCCAGCTCACAGAACTTGGCACAAACAGGGACGAGTGTGCAAAACACTAATTGGTAATAGGCCCAGGTGCAGAACAATAATTGGTACTGGTCATAAGCGGAAAGCACATGGTACCACCTGCTCATTAGAAAAGACCTTGGAACCCACTCCTTACAGATACAGACTCAGGTTCAGGAAAGGGTCTAAAATGACAGCATGATGGATAGAGATGATCTAATCAAATCACGAGGCACAGGGTAATGGGTGGTATCTAAGTAGCGTTAGAGGGTGGTAACCTGACAACGTCAGCAGTGAGGTGTGATTTGTTGTACCTGTATCTAAGGTGGTGTCTTGGGGGGACAGTTTTGTATGACCTAGGGGGCAGTGGAAATTTCCCACTGACTGAGTCATTCCATTGTGGCAAGTACATATGCGTAGTGGTTCAGTAGAGTCAATGACAACTACGACTGTACTTCGCTTAACAATAAACCTGGCCTGGCACCTTCGATCCTTATCTGGTTTGTTTTCTGTGGGGGCTCTCTTGAGGTCTGCTGTGGAGACTAAGTGCACAAGTCAACACGGCCCACATGACTGAGCGCACTCGCAAGCAGCCTTCTGGTTCTCATCATCCACGGAACCGGAGACCCTGAGGACACTTCGGCAGCAAATCCTGACCGCCCTCCTGAACAACTACAGCCTGTTATGCAAACACAAAATATTTTCAGGACACGACAGCTTTTACCTGCCACAGCAAGAAGTCACTAAGCCGGACCTCTCCGGAGGTCCGTATCAGGAGGTCTGGGTTGGGGGAGTTGTTGGTGTAGAGGCATTTATCAAGCAATGACTCGGACACATCACTGAGAGAGAGAGACACACACAGACATCCCATTAATAAGATCACTTTCACAACCTGAGAGTGGTGACACCATGAAATCAGGGTTCCTACAAAGGCATGAGCTTGGTGTTCTGGCCCTATCGAGTGGGGTTTAGAAAACGTGCTGACAGAGAATACCAGAGACTGAAGAGATCTACAGCAGCGACAGTGGCAGTGCAAGTCCTTCGCTTCTCCTGACCATCAACTCTCCAGCCTGAAGAAGGGGGTTCAGTGTCTAGGATCCATTTGTTATGTGGCCTCACAACTGCGACTGCCAGCAAAGAAGCGAACTGTCAAGGCATCTTTCATGCCATGCAAACTAAGGATGTTAAAATGCAATTATCTGGCTAATCACAGAGTTGATACAATGTGTACTGACAACACGATTAGTCGATAAGCTCCTCTGCAGAGCCGCAGCAGGGCAGCTCCAGAGGAGCCGATTCGAGCTGGCACTGAGCAATCCTGGCTCGTTGCAGCTCTGCATGTTAAATGTAGTAAGAGCTGCTGGGCTCTCACTACATTTCAAATGCAGAGCTGCTGCGATCAGCGTGAGCCAGGACTGCTCGGTCCCAGCTCACGCTGAGTTCAGCACCATTGTTCGCGACGGCCAGGGCTAGCTGCAAGCAGGAGCTGCTCAGGCAGCAGCCCCGTCTATGGCCAGGCCTAACCACGTGAACAGGGGCTGGTGACAGAGCAGCTCCTGTTCGTGGTGGCTAGCGCTGGTTGCAGGCAGAGGCTCAGGCTGGTGTCAGGGCTGGCTGCCATGAATAGGGGTTGCTTAGCGGCAACAGCCCCTGTTTGCGGGGGGGGCCCCAGCTCCCTGCTAGGACCCCTGCGGATAGGGGCTGAGGCAGCGGGGGGGGGAGGTGGCATCCTGAAGATGATGCTGGGGGGGGAAACAGTTTTTAAGCTGGCTTCCCCAGCACCAGTTCCTGTCCCCCCCCCTTGCTGCCTCTCATAGAGGCAGCAAAGGGGGGGGGGGGGTTGCAGAGCACACAGGGTGAGCGGGGACTGCTTGAGTTGCTGCTCGCCCTGTGCTCCCTGCGGCACTTCTGCTTTTGAAATGTACAAGAACCTCGCAGGGCTCTTGTACCCACAGCGGGAGCTGTTGGGAGTGGGGCACTGAAGCAGCCCCACTCGTGCCGTTTCCTGCTGTGCCTCTGCCTCCCCTGCTCCTTGCAGGGACAGTGCTGGGGGGGGGGGGGGGCCGGGGGGGGGGGGAGGGACAGGCTTTACCGGTTCCTCACAGTACCGGCTCCTTCTCCTCCCCAACTTGCTGCCTCTGATAGAGGCCGCAGGGAGGGCGAGGGGAAGGCGCGACTATCAAGTCAACTATCCGATAAGCATTGCTTGTTGGATAGTCGACCAGTAAATTACATCCCTAATACAAACTGGAACGGAATTGAGACCCTCCATCTCACTGTTTCTCTTGTACCATACTTAGCACCATGTTACCTAAGGCCACCAAAAAAGGCCTTCATATAGTAATTTTCAGTCACTATAAACCAGTCTGATAGGAATCAATGAAGGCCTGAGGACCAGTAGGGAAAATATGACAAAGTATCGGGTGACGTTTGCAAGGAATCATCCCGTTCTTACAATACATTAACTGAATGACTCCGCCACCTACCAAGCCAAGGCACTGTAGCGCTCCTGGCTCTTTAAAATGACATTTATGGGCATATTGGGACAAAAATAGAAGTTGTGTAGCTATCTGCCCTACAGGTTACCACATGTTTGCTCCCTAGACTTGTTACAACATAGTTCAAATTTGCAGCGTAGGTGAAACCTCAGAGTTCCTGCCAAGGTGTATCTAAACCTTTAGTTTCATTAAGAAACACAGTTAAGGTCCCCAACTCTACAAATATGGAAGCTTGAGGGAACCAGTTTGAGAGAGCTGGGTGGTAACGTGGTCTCCTACATGTCCGTTCTTGTAGCATGGAGGGATTATCTAAAATCCAGGGTTAGACAAGGACTCTGCTCAAGTCCGAAAGACTGGACATTGCACAGCAATCTGCAGAACACCTAGGGGAAGGCATCAGCCTTGTCACTTCACAGCACAAGTGACCTGTGAGCCAGGAAATTGTGGAGAAGGCAATGTAAATGCTGGCTGTGCCAACTCCACAGATGCTGGGACTCCTCCGTGCAGGGGGATCCCTTTACAAAAGAGCGAGGGCCCATGGCACAAAGGAGATGGAAAAGGGCAAAGCATCTGTCTCTAATATTCAAGTATTTGATGTAATTTTCATTGCTTTTTTATGCAATCCAGCAGCTGGAAATGAGGCAAAGCAAGAATCACATGACCAGTCGGCTCTGAGAGCCACTGACAAGCACTCTATGGACCACTTTTGGGATCATACCCAGCACCCTTTAAAAGAGCAGCTCATAGCGCCCTCACGTATGGTTAGGAGTGGCAGAGAAACGAGCTGCGGAAAGACCTTGTAAACCCACCTCCCCGGAATTTTTTAACAACATACATAGACCATTCCACATGGGAGTCTTGTGATCAATTTTGCTTTCCCTCCAAGAGTGAACTCTGTTACTTTATTTCATGCCATGTCCTGATGCTGACACCAGAGACTGACTGGATCTTAAAGCAAGGGCTCTTATTGTGTCTAGGGATGTGAAGGTTTAACTAGTTAACCAGTAAAGCTGGAGCAGCTCCTTGCCTGCGGGTGGGGGGAAGGGAGGCATTGCAGCCCAGCAGTGGGCAGGGGGGGCAGTCTCCCGCTCGCCCCCTCTTTATTCAGGATTAAACTATATGTTTAACCGGTTAGCTAATTAAACAGGATTTTACATGCCTGGTTGTTTCACCCATGAAAGACTGCACAGTAACCCCAGAATCTGCGAGAAGCACGCGGGCAGACTAGAGTCGTTAGAGCAAGACACAAGTTACCTGGGTTCAAGTAGTCCTTGTTCCACACCCCAGGCCATCTCTCTCACCGCGTTGCTGATTTCATGTCTTGATGTGTATGCAAAGCAGACATTCAGAAAACATCTGAAAGGTATGAATGAAACTAACTCAAGAAGCAATCAGGGGGTCACAGACAGAAGAGTTAGCTAGAACACTGATGCATGTTTACGGGGAAAAAAGCAGCAAGGGACGACATGCAATGTCTGTTGAACTTTCGCTTCCAAGGGTGCTGGCTGGATACGCTGTCGTGTGCTACTCACTTGTTGTAGTTCCTGGTGGCCAGCACAGCCTGGGCAATCAATTCTTGAATATCCAGTGGCAGAAGAGGCAGGTCCCCCAGGACACGGATACACACACCATGCTTCTTCAGATTCTCTCTGCACAGAGCAGCAGGGATGGGCTCTGATCAGCAGGCATGCCAAAGCCCGACCAATCCACAGCCCATTTTCACAAATGTCATTTTGAATTTCAGTTCCAGGGATTTAAATCTTAAATTTCAGAGTGTGGTAACAAAGCATGGGTCTGTATTTTAAACCAGCACTCGTACAGCCTGTGATGCCCCCTCATACCAGGGGTATTTTGGTACAGCCTGTGATGCCCCCTCATACCATGCCACCCTTACTTCTGCACTGCTGCTGCCCTGTGGACGCCAGGTCCGAAGGCAGGGCAGAAGTCAAGGTGGCAAAACTATGCTCCTTTTAACTTCCCTTTGGGTCAGGGCCTCCCATTTGAGAAACACTGTTACAGGATAAGAGTACACAAAAAACCATATTTCTCATGTGATGCCTTTTCACGGCCATGAATTTGGCAGAGTCCTACCTGTTGCCTGAAAATTACACCTGGCGCTCCTAACTCTATTACAGAAGAAGAGGGTTGTGACATGACATGCAAAATTAAGACCTGATGCAACTGGCAGGAGGATAGGAGTATGGAATTTACTTACAGGTGGCCTGAATCTGACCATCTCTAGAGCTCTAGCCATTTCCTCAAAAGAAATTTAAAAACAAGAGCAGCCTACAGATTCCTGACACAGAAATAGTTGAGTAGTTGTACAAGAAAGAACCAAGACAAGGATCGTAGATCATCTTTTGCCATGCTTTGAGACTACGAAATTCGTCACATGAAAGACTTGTATGCAAGTGATTATTTTCCTGCATGTTATTAAGCAGAAGTTAAAAGGAGGATGGCAGGTAACTAGAATGAGTAGTAGCTAGTCACATATCAGCCCAACTGGAAGACTAGTGCATCAACAACGGAAAAACAACAGCAGGAAACACGCTCACTATATAATTATTTTGGACAGAAAAGACACTATCCTAGTAGCTCTATCCTGAAACCAACAACCATTTTTGTATTCTAGTGCCAGCTCCTGAGAGGAGAATGACAACACTGGTTCAAGCCCCATCTAGTGCAAACCGGGGCTCTCTCAGTCTGACCTACAGCATTACTCTAAGGACCTCTCTACCAAGTCACCCAAATACTGAGCTACACGACCCCACCCCCAGTGTTCACACCCTGTCCCAACAGTACTTCCAGTCTCAATGAACGCTCTGGCTTTTGGGTTTTTGTCCCATGGTGGAGGCAGACAAACAAATGTGCCAAGTTGTTGAACCATTAAAATGCCTTTCTGTGCTCATCTAAACTCACACTGGATCCAGATCTCCACCTAGAAATACATATCGCTGCTTTCATTGAATTAATGTAGATTAACACGTTGCTACATCACTTTCCATCCCTTCCTGCTGTTCTCCCCTGACCCCACATTTATGTAGTCCTCTCGGTATGGGCTTGAGAGGATCTTACTGTTCTTCCAGCAAGCGGCTAAATTTTTGCCTGGCCAGCTCCATCAGCCCATCGACCTCTTCCTTGGAGCGTTTAAAGTTCTCAATGCTAAATGCATAGACAGTGACCTCCCGGATATCCAGATTCAAGCACCACCGCAGAGTCTGCAAGAGGAAAAATTTGGTCACTCAGAGCAGTGACTCTTAACCTTTCCAGACAACAGTTCCTCTTTCAGGAGTCTGATTTGCCTAGGGTACCTCAAGTTTCACCTCCCTTAAAGACAACTTGTTCATAAAAATCAGACATAAAAATACAAACATGTCACAGCGCACTATGACTGAACAATTGTCAGGGTCTCATTTTTACCATCTAATTATAAATCAATTGGAATATGAATATTGTACATGCATTTCAGTGTATAGTATATAGGGCAGTATAAACAAGCCATTGTCTGTATGAAATGTTAGTTTGTACTAACTTCAATAGTGCTTTTTATGGAGCCTGTTGTAAAGCTAGACAAATATCCAGAGTTGGTGTATGTACTGGAAGCACCTTGTGAACCCCAAAAGGTACATGTACCCCTCCCTGGCTGAGAATCACACATTCAGAGCATCCCATTTCAGCAAGTGAGTGAACTTTCTTGCAGTTCATAATTATTCTAACAATGACTGGGAGGAAAAAAAGAGTCTACAATGGTCCCAGTCTTATAAGGATTCCAGGTGCAACTCAAAAAATGCTAGAAAATAATCAGATCTTGAATTAAAATGCTCAGTGTGACTGTCAGGCAGCAGGATGGGCAACTAAGGATGCTGAGTGGCCCTCCTTCATTTCAGTGGACCGCAAGATTGCTGTAACCAAGAATTTGCTAGGTGGGCCGACAACCATGGTAGCGTTTTTGTTGGTCTCAGAGGGAGCACACAGCTCTCACAGCTGAAACTGTGTGCAATCAGCATATGCCTCACTTCACCTGCCCTTGCTTTCCATGCATGCCACGCTAGTGACACCAGTAGGGAAAAAATGTTGCAGAATCAGGCAACCTTGCTTGTGGGCAATGGTAATGAGAGGCCTTGTGGGCCACATATAGAACCTTGACGGGCCACAAGTTGCCTACCACTGCTGTAGGGTCTCCTACAGGCTAGGTTACAATGTGTTCCGAGAACAGCCGAGCATTTAGGAACATCGGAATTACCAGAACGGGTCAGACTATAGGGCCATCTAGTCCAGCATCCTCTCCAACAGTGCCCAGTACCAGATACTTCACTATGCAGATGCGGGATAGCCCACTCTCCGTGAGTCTTCTCCTCACCCCAGTCATAGGTGCTGAGTTTTTCTTTTCCCCAGGGTGCTCCATCCTCCCTTTACCCTAAGGCCCCACCCGCATTCCTCCCATTCCCCAGGCCCAACCCATCACTCCCCCCCTGCTCCATCCCCTCTTCCAAGGCCCTGCCCTCACTCTGCCCCCTCCCTGAAGCCCTGGGCCACTCAGCGCTCTCTCTCCTCCCCCAACTGCCAAATTGCTGCTTGGTGGCTCTGCCAATCAACTTTTTTTCCCCTCTATGTTTCCCTTCCCTCCCTCCAGCCCCAGAGCACTCATGAGTTGGCGCCTATGTCTCTAATAGAGATTGGCATAAACCTAACTCATGTGGTTTCATAACCCTTCTTGATCCTTTTAAAGACCCTCCATACAAAAAAATTCCATCAACTCTGGATATTCTTGTTACTCATATAAAAGTGTCCACAGCCTGGATCTTGCAAAGTTCCTGACTGGGATTTCCAGGCTGAACTGTTCTCTTCCTTCGCTGTGTTATTCCCAGTAAAACAGACAGACTGCCTAAACGGGCCTGCTTTTCTCCCTCCTCAGAGACAGCCCACAATTATAAGTTACTCACGGTGCTTCCTGTATTCTGCAGAATACAGTTTGAACTAGTATATATCAACCTCTCTAGGGGTTACTTCAAAAGGCCAATAACTGAAGGAATTACATTAGCTTACCTCTCCTCCCAGAGAAGTTATATACAATCTCCCAATACGACAAGCACTTGCCTACGTGATCTAATGGACCCCCAAGGTCTGAGACTCAATTCAGTAAGCTTTGTTCAGGATAGTGCCATATCTACCAGACTGTACATTGGAACCTTTCCCTAGAGCAGTGGTCCCCAACCTTTTGGGGCTGCCGGGCGCCTGGGGGCAGGGCCGCTCACTTTTGTGCGTACGGGGGCGGAGCCACGCACAGGCCACGTGACTTGGGGCGGGGCCAACCATGCACCGCACGCCCGAGGCCGGCAGCGGCATGTGCAGCGATCCCGGGCAGGGACTGCCCAGGTTCCGCAGGGCCAGGGCCGGCAAGGGCACGCGCAGTGCACCCGGGGCCGGGGCCGGCCATGCGCCCGGGGCTGGCACCTGCTGCATGCCCGGGGGCGGGGCCAGCCCAGGTTGCTCCGCGGGCGCATGTAAAGGGCCCGGCAGGTGCCATGGCGCCCGCGGGCACCGGGTTGGGGACTACGGCCCTAGAGGATCTCAAAGTACTTTACAAACACTAACCCTCAGTGAGGTATTATTTCCCTGTTTTACAGATGAGTAAATGGAAGAGATTAAATAACTTTCCCAAAACCATCGAGGTTAACGGTAGATCAGTGAGGAGAACCTGGGCATCCTGACTCCCAGCAGCTCCAGGGTCTAAGTACCAGATTCCACCCCCCTTAAGAAAGGGGACATCTGTCCCTACACTAAGAAAATGCTGACGAAAACTGGAACCAGGGATCCAACACCCTAACCTCCATCACGCAGAAGCACCTGTGTAGAAGGTACTGCCCCCACCTGTGCCAGTTTGTCAAAGCCCTCTGAATGCCCCTGCTGCCTCTTCACGTGGCACTTCTGAGCATAACGGCGATTCCCATCCATGATGAATGCAACATGCTTGGGCATCGGACCTGCCTAGATGGCAAGAAGAAGAAAGACTAAACAGACTCGAAAGCCAACCACCAACTTGGATTCCCACCTCAATTACCATGCTCCTGGAAGCGCCCCTGCTGTAGCATGGGATCCATCTGCAAAGTTTGGGGATGGAGAGGACACAAAATAGCAAGAAAAAGATAGAAGAACACAAGCTACTAGATAAACATGCGACTCTTTAGTAACCCTAGCTTCCATTTGAAGCACTATGACAGGAGCACTCACCATTAATTTCCTTTGTCACTGCCTTATCCTGTTGTGTGGCTGAGAATTGAACATATTTAGGATACAAGAGAGCCTGGAACAGCACTGAAAAGTGATTAGCATCTTGTGTCAGTGAGGACTCAGCAGGTGTTCCAAGCCCCATGCTGCCAACATTGTAAGCATCTCCTATGTCAGCATTCAAGCGACTTTCAGACTCATTTACATGGAGGGAAAAAAATCTGATTTTTCACCCCTACAGCTGATATTTCCTCCTCTTAATTTCACTAGGTCTCTACAGCTCTGTCTGAGCATGGAAACAGAGATGCATATGTCAGCAACAGAACAGGTTTTGAGGCTTGCTTGCGGAAGGTACAGAAGACACACAGTTTTCTAAAACTATTGGGATGTATTACATTCAACATAAATATATTTTAATAAAACAACTGGAATTATCTGAATCTAAAATATAATGTCTAATTATCTTGCATCCCTTCCACACCCTCTTCCATTCTCATATGATTTTAACGGCCATTATTTCTCAAACTGCTAGACAGACATGAATGTGTTATACCCTTTAAAACTAGGGTTTCCATCTGCTTGTAGATGGTAAAATAATGTCTAGCTCTAGCAATTGTTATGATACTTGCTGTCAGAAATGAAATAAGAGAACGGGCAAGAGGATAATTAGAGACCTTATTTTAAGATTCATGTATCTGTTGCTCAGCCAGGGCTTCAAATATTAGAAATCTAGGGACCCCAGCTTGCTACTGACATGCATTAATTATAGCCCTGCTCATCTACAAGACTCAAGCCAATGTAATTTTCCATCCCTGAATACAATTTAGGAATGTACACTCAGTACTAGTATTAATATGTGCTTCTGAACAATGACATTTTCTTACAAAGCAGTCTCATGGATAGTTAACTAATACGGAGCTGCAATCTTGAAAATTCTTGATTGTTAGCAGCAGCACTGAAGTTTATGTCTTACCTTTATAATGTTGGCACAAAATCTCTCTATGATGGTCAGCTCTCCTTCCTTGATCCATGACATGGCCTTACTCGCAGCAGTCTCTTTTTTTGGGGAGGACACTGAGAAAAGGGGCAAATGAATCAGGAGGATCTATCTGAGCAGTAAGAACAGTCATTTTAAAGTTTACTTTTCCAGTTAGTCACCTTCTCAGAGCTTTTTTTTTACTACTTACACTCAAATTATAAAAGCAGAACATGCTACTCCAGAGCTGGATAACTTAGGAATGAAATATAGAGTTATTACCACCCAGTACTTGCAACACAAGTAGAAATTGATGTCACCAGCCTGGGTGAAACGACACCTTGACTCGCAGCACAGTTGTCAGAGAATAAGCACACACATTTCAAAAGCCACCACCATGGTTGTTATTACTTGGTCATCAGGGAAGAAAAGGGCTAACCAGTCTTGCAGACTGCACTCCCCTTTCACCCACGGAAATGCTTGCTCCGATTTAGGGGCAACATACATTGGTAGGAGCTAAGAACCTGCCCTGTAGCAGCTCATGGAATATCTGCTCTGCAGAAAAAGAGAACTTCTGCTTAGATGACTGTAGAGCAGTGGTCCCCAACCTTTTGGGGCTGCCAGGCCGGGGTGGCACCACGCATGTGCCACACGCCTGGGGCACAAGAATGGCTCAGGCTGGCCCTGGTCACTAGGCAGGCACATATAAATGTCCCGGCAGGCGCCATGGCGCCCGCGGGCACCGTGTTGGGGACCGCTGCTGTAGAAGCAGAACCTGTCACCAGCGCTAAACTGACACTGAACACGTAAGCTTGGTCCGTTGATCGAGTCTGTGACCACTTGCTGAACTCCCTGGAAATCCTTTACTTTCTTGCAGCTCGGTTCCTGAGCGATTCTCCTTCAGCTAAGGGCAGGCAAGGCTGGGCTGGGCTGGAGCGAGCGCCTGGGGGCAGGGGAGCATGATCCAGCTCTGGCTGTTGAACAGGCTCCCAGGCACCACACTTCTTTAGGCTGCCTGCTCCGGAGCGGGGGCCTGGCCAGGGACCCCGGGCAGCCCAGCCACCTCCCAGGACTTGGGCTCTTCGCTCAGCAATAGGGGGCCCCAGCTCCCCCCCCGGCCTCGCCCCGCGCCAGGCTGCCCAGCTCGCGGTCATATCCAGACTCTTTCATCTAGGTCATGGAAGAATTCATGTCTGTGAATGTGTATGACCTAATTAAGCCTGCCCCACACCAAATCACTAGGAACATAGGACTATACATATCAATTGTCCCAATTGTCCAGAATTCCCACTACGAATGGCCATTACCTGACGTCTTAGAGGAAGATAAAGACTTCCCCCCCCCACACACTATCCCAACATAATTAGCCATTAGTGGAATGCTATGTGGTGGAAGATACACAGGAGGGAAAGAGAAAGAAAATACCTTCCTGACCACCTGTAAACAACCAGTTCATGCCATGAAGCATGAGACTTGATTACTCAGAGCATAGAAGAACACATGGTCAATTTTTTTTTAAACTAAATCCTTTTAACTGACCGAATATGGGAGAACTGTCCATCCAAATTTGCTCAGCATCATACAGGCTATTTAAAAACACATTTTAATTTAACATGAACAATTTTGAGCTTGTTTCTGAAGAGAGGCAACAGGCATGATACTGGCCCATACAGAACATCATAACACAGTTTATTCTACATTATTAGAGGAAAATATTGGAATTGTGTGTTTCTTATGCTCCTTGGACTAAAGAATTTTGTGGAAAAAAATCTGGTTAATATTGTAACTAATATTTTCTGTTTATTTTACCTACTCAGATGTAAATCCACTTAATTTAGAATATAAACATTTAGAATATTGTTCATGTATTATATATTGCTAGTTAAAAATTATTCAAATGTAAATATCCCCATTATTTCTTCTCAGCAAGGAAGAAGCAGTTTCTTGTATGACTCAATAGCAACAAAATAAAATTAACCAGGATGGCAGGCTCTTACCTATTATGAAGTAACTAGGACTTTACGGGTAGTAAGAGGACATAAATCAGTTCACTGATGCATTGCTACTGGAGGATTAAGAAATACCTGCCTCCATATGATCACATTGTTGCCAGTGAGAAACTCGCTAGGAAGGCATTTGTATGGCGTTTTGTGGCTCTCCAGCGCCACTAAGTGATTTTGGCATGTCATCACACTTATTTCATGATATCATATCAGCACCTTGATGCAACTTCAATACAGTGTCAGGACATCACAATAATTAATTTGTAGATCTCAACAACTCCAAAGATTCTCCTCTCCACAGCGCCCTTGGCTGCTATAGAGCAATCCTGGTGACTGCAATGTGTTTGCTCAATATTTCTGCCTTCACTGCTCTGCCCAAGTCCCTTAATGCAAGGAACATTCCTGCATTAAGAACTTCATTTGTATTGGGTAGAGCAAGAGCAGTTCGGAACCACAGAACTCAACAAGAACCACACACATACACATATCTAAAGCAGCAGAGATGGGGGAGCAGAGGTGGGTTCACAGATGGGGAACAGCCTGCCCCACCACGGGTCATCCCGCATGGCCAGAGCAGGAGGGTCACAGGAGCAGAGCGGGTCCCTTAGGAGGGGTGAATGGGGGTGGGGGCCTGACCTCATTCACAGCCCTTGAAAGCTGGTTCCCTCCCCCACATCTGGCCTGCCCTGTGCTTTTACAGCTTTCACAGGGGAGACCCCTGATTCTCCAGTGAGGCTCCCTTGGCCCAATAGGGAGCTGGCAAGGAGGGCGAGGAATTCAGTCTAAGCCCCTGTTACATCTGTGCTGCTCCCGGAGCTGGGCAGCCGGAGAGCAGTGGCCAGAAGGAAGAGTGGTAGCACCATACTATGCCGCTCTACTTCTGTGCTGCTGTCTGCAGAACTGAAAGCAGGAGCATGGCAGCTGCTGGCTGAAGGCCCAGGTCTCTACTTCCGCGCTGCTGCCTGCAGGTGGCAATACCTCCTGTGCCAGGCCATCCTTGCTTCTGAGCTGCTGCGGGCAGTGACTCTGACTTCAGCGCTGGGATCCCAGCCCATAGCTGCCACTCTCCAGCTGCCCAGATCTGAAGGCAGCACCGCTACCAGCAGCAGCACAGGAGTAAAGGAGCAGTACTGCAGCCTCCCCCCCACTCCATTTTTGGGTCACAATCCCTGAAATTACAACACTGTGAAATTTCAAATGGAAATAGCTGAAATCATGATATTTATGATTTTAAAAATCACGTTACCATGAAATTGACCAAAATGGATTGTGAATTTAGTAGGACCCTAGGTTTAAGGCACCTTTCTAAGCATAAGCCTGCCCTCCTATGAAGGGTGTCTTGATGGGATGCTATTGGTACCATGCCCAAGGGCAGCTCGCACCTTGGTAATACAACAGCAAGGCCCACAGGGTTGGGCTGTTTACAGGCACCAGGGCACAGACCCCATTTATCCCTTCTGGTTCCTTAGGAGGCTGGCTGTTACATGCAAGCATCATAATAGTTCCTCAAAATTCTGCCCATGGCCACCCAAATATCATGCAGTCCTGCCAATTCCTGCCTCCAACCTCCAAAGGAATAGTTTTAGGAGCCAGGGGGAAAGTTGTCCCTTCAAACTGCAAACCTCAGGAGGTACAAAATATGCACATCAGTCAGGTGGCATTTTAACACAGGCCCTGATTGGTTGTGGGGATTTTTGGGCACAGCCACACAAATGCAGACAATATCATTTTCACATGCATTATCCTTTGTCAGCGTTGGCTATCCATGTTATTTTGCTCCTCTCCACACTAGGTAGCTCCTATCACGGTTTACCTCAGCAAGGGGTGAAACAGGTAACAATTACCTTAGGACACCTAGCAGGCTTTGCTGCTCTACGTGCCATTGAGCAGCAAAGATGGTTGAAAAATGATGTGGTAACAGCCATTAGAGACTGAATTTATTAGAGCTTTTTATAAAGCCAAGAGGGTGACCTATGCAACACTTACTCTGGCCAGGAAGATGGGTTAGCAGTTTAAATCTGATCAGAGAGAGGAAGCCAGCAAAGGGGATTTGGACAGGCTGGAATGGGACAGAAGGGGGGAGGGGGTAACAGAGGACAGGTACAGCCTGTTGGGGTTTTATGAAATTGTATTGCAGGGGAGAGCAAGCAACTGTGGGTAAGCACCTGAGATGGTTGCTGCTAGAAGGTACAGGCTGGGAAGCAGGGTGTTTGTTTTGGGGCAACTGCAACTTCCAGTGGAGCAGGGAAGAGTGCGAGCTCCCTGTTGTGCTCTGTCAGGCAGCAAGCTGAGGTTCTCTATCTAGGCATCCTACTGGTAGACAAGAGCTGCTGTGTGGAGTTGGAGTGAAACCTGAGTTTCCTTCCATACTCAGAGGTATCCTCCAGTTGGCAAGTAGAATGACTCATACAAAGGCTACTGCCTTCTGCTCACGAAGTTCATATTTAACGGCATGAGACTTTGCTTTTTAATAGCTTCTGCCACCAAGCCCTCTCAGTCTTTCTTCACAGTACAGAGTCTTGGGATGGTTACAGGGGAAGACGTGCAGGAGTGGGTTCCCCAATGCTGGTGGGGGACTGGATCAAGTCAAGCTGGGGGCTGCAGCTGAGCCTTAAGTTCCCCACCCCTTCTTCAGAAGATGTAACCCCAACCAGCAGAGGAGGTGGGTGATTGGTACATGACAATTAAAAGAACGTGAACTTTCTCAATGCAACTGCCAATCATACTCTTCATTTGCAACTAAACCTTTAAAGTTTAGTAAATGCTAACGCTAATTGGAAAATAATTAGGATAGAGAGAGGGGACCAAACCACCACCTCTCAATGCTGGGAAGTGTTCAGCTTTGTGGTCAGTCAGGCTTTGAGGATGGGAGTAATGCTTAGAGCTTGCTTAAGAAGGATGCTTAGTGGACAGGACAGCCTGGGTTCAGTTCCTGCTTCAGATTTTCTGTGCTACTTTGGGAAAGTCACTTGCTCTACTGCGCCCTTATCTGTAAAAGAAGAATGTTTCCCTCCTTCAGGTGTGTTGGGTTTTGTCTACACTAGCACTTTTATCAGTCAGGGGCATGAAAAACAAACCCCACCCCTGACAAAAGTTTCACCAGTAAAAGCGCCAGTGTGGACACTCGCCTGCTGGCCTGCAGCAGCTGTACAGTCCTTACAATGGCACAGCTGCAGGGGTGCACTTGTGCTGCTGAAAGACCCATAGTGCAGACATAGCTAAAATGCCACTGATGAGGGCCATGTAGATAGGTGAGTTACCATGGAAGAGAACCAAGAATGCTGAGTCCTAGGCCCCTGTTCCTGAACATTCAGGTAGTGACGATAGCTTTGGGAACATGCTTTACAGCAGGACAGATCTAGGGCAAATGAAAGGAGAAGCACCAGTTGCCATTATTCATAGTCTTTATTTTGCAGAAAAAAGTCAAAACGTTTTGCATGGTTGATACAAAAAAGAAAAGGAAGGAAAAAAAATGCAGTGATGGGCATTTGTAAAAAGTACAAAAATAATAAAGCGCTGTAAAACTTAAAACAAAAATTCTGTTTTCTCCAAATTTCAGTTGTGTTAACGTACCTCCCCCCACCCCCCCCCCGCTTCATAAAAATTCAAGAGTTTGACACAAACAAGCTTTGGTTGCTAGCAGTAAACATGGAGTTACATTCTTCCGTCTGACAGTAGACAATCGTTTGGCCACTTGACTACAGGTTTTTGAACCAGGGGAGAATCGTCCCCCGAAGGATATTTTATCCCTCTAACATTCAAATGCTCCTATATGTTTGGATGGAGTTAGGGTTAGGGACTGAGACTTGGAGCACGGGTAAGAAGGATGATTAGTGGGCATGACAGACCTGGCGTCAGTCCCTAGCTCAGAGAGAGTCCACCATTGCCTACCTGCTGTCCCATAATGCAGAGTGGCCGTTGCCTGCAAACCAGGCATGAGCAGGAGGTGATGACCGTAAGCCCCTTGCAGGAATTAATCCGCAAGATTGTCAGCAAGGAATGGAAAAAGCCACACCAAAGGTCTCCAGTCTGCAGATGGAGGAACCTCGAGTGCTGCAATGTGCATAGGGAAGGTACTGCAAGCCGCAGACAAGAAGATGCAACTGAATATTTTTAAAAGTCCATCTTCTGTAGCCTGGCTTTCCCTTACAAATCGACCCTTGGTTTTTGGGAGGCACGTGGCTCTCTTGTCTGCAGCAAGCCTGGAGGCTTTAGGATTCACTGTCTTGCCAGAGCCCACTATGTTACCTCAGTCACCTCCCTGCCCAGGCAGAGCCGCAAGGCAGAGCATAAAGAGAGGATCCCATCTCCCTGGTCCAAAAACCCGTCTAATGCTTTGGCTATTTTTTCTTTACGTTTGTAAACAATAATCAAGGAGAATATTGAAAGAAAGTGGAGAGATTTACATAGATATTTACACAGACTAGACACCTAGCAAATCACCAAACTGCTTACTTGGAAGTTCTACACGATTCTTCAAGACAGATACAAAACGAGAAGGGGCAGCATATACCCGTCGGCACACTTCCGGTGCCAAAGGATGATCAACAGTTCCCTCTGTGGGTCCCACTGAGTACCGGACCCTAGGGTTAGACGCACAGTCCAATGCATTCTATTGCATTTCCCCGTTCAGACAGAGACGTTATCCTGAGGTAGATTTGTATAGATCCCACAGCTACTTTAAAAAAAATTCTTTCCCCTCCTCCAAAGTACTATCACCACTCCACCACACTCACGGCTGCAGCAGGCAGAAAGCCAGGGCGAGGGGGCCCCTTCCGCCCAAGCCTACCTACAGGCCACGGAGACGGCAGCATCTCACCTAGACAGCTCTAACAGCGTGTGTCAAGGAGCCTTACAAGGCCAACTCTTCATTGCCACAAGTACATTTGCTAACCAGGCCAGTTCCTTTTCCCAAGCTTTAATGGGAATGGGCTGAGCCCCACGGGTGGTGCTCTCAGATTCTGAGAGGAGGGCATTTCACGTCCGTTCTTGCAAACTCGCCCGTTCTCTAACTGCATGTCCCAGCGCTGAAATGGCATCTTGGATTCCCTCCAATCTCCACCTGATTCCTATTTGGAAGGTTGAAAATCCCCCTCTCTCTCGACATTCCCTGCCCGGATCGAACTCTATTCTGTTACTACCTAGAACTTAGCGTGGAAACTGCAGCCCCAATCTCAAACGTGCCGCTGGGCCAGCATTCTCTGTACCTAGGCGGGGCGGCACAGCCAGCCCCTGCGGCTGCAGAGCACGGACGAGCCTCGCAGCTCATGGCTTGCAGACAAGATTCCACCATCACAGCCAGCAATCGCTGGCTAGCATTTGAGGAAAGTGGGATGGGAGGGGGGGAGCAAGGAAAGGCAGAGAGAAGGGGAGAATTGTACCTGAATCTGCTACAAGGCTGGGAGAGGGCTGGCTTGGGGAACTCTTCATGCATGTGACGTGCCCAGCTCCATGCTCATCCCCCAAAGAGGTGCTACATCCAAGCACATTAGTGAGAGGTAGAGATGGCTGGAGCGAAAGGCCTTCCGGGGGGTGTTGGATTGTAACCCTTATTCTGTTAGACTGCAGTTTTCCTAGAGATGCAGCCAGTCCAGGTGGGGGAGGAGAGAATCTCACAGCCAGCGTCTTACAGCCGGGCAGAGGCTAAGGAGTTTCTAAAGAAGGGATTTACACTAGAGCCCCACTGATGACTATTATAGGCACTGAAAGGCTCTTGCTCTCTCAGAGGGAGGGATAACCCGGTGCAAGGGCAGCCAGCTTCTTTATGCCCTCAATCCAGATTAACCCCCAGTGCTGGAGTCATAGCCCCCATTTCTGATTGAAAGCCGGGCCCTGAGCATCTTCCCCACCGCAGTGTCTGCAGCAGGAGGAAGCCACCAGCAAAGAGCTTGGTTTTCGTGGTGGGGAAGCAGAATGGTGCGTGGTGGCCATAGTGGGGTCGCCAGGCCCCTGGTCAAGGTGGGCGGGGGCTCTGTGCTCCAGAAGGGGCGGGGGTGGGGCTAGCCTCCCCTAGGCAGCCTTCAGTGCTGCCCAGAACATGCTGCAACAGGTTCCGGAGGAGATTTAAAGAGTCCAGGTGACCAGGTTCCAGCTGCTGCTGCAGATGCAATAGTGGTGATGGCAGTTAGGAGCCGCCCCAGGGAGCTGCTCCCTTTGCCCACCCCTGTTGTCGGGCCTGGATGGTCCTCGTCAGCAACTGGAGTGGGGCACAAACTAGGTGCCCAAGAGCGTTTTCCGCCAGCGACCATTCCGCGGGGAACATGGAGGCAGGACGAGAGGGGGAAGAATTTGAACCACAATGGAGACAGATGGCTGAACCCTCCTCTGCAGCACTGACTGACTTCTCCATACCCACCCGCAGACCCACAGAGCCGCCTGTCAATCCGGGGAGAGAGGAAAAGAGCCCGTTCGAAATACAGCTTTTAACAATCATTAGACCATCCCGCGAGGCAGCCCTGCCGCTTCCAATACAAACTCTGTTCCGGCGCGGTGCGGGTAAAACGCAAAGAAACAAAATTCCACTCGGTGCAGCACGGTGGCTGCAGAGACCGTCTATCCCTGAGATTGCGCGAATACCTGAGAAGAAGTTGCAGTAGTTCTGTCCTCTCTCTCTCTCTCTCTCGCTCTCTTTAAGATTAAAATATACAAAAATACAAAAAACCAGAATATTTATATATAAAAAAAAAACAAAGACGACAAACAAACCCAAAGATACGTCATACGCGCACGTCTTAGTGCAGGTTTCACATCATGTTCGGCTTCAGCACGGAAGGGGGGGGCCTTGCGTTGCAAGGGCAGCTGTCCCCGGGAACAAATAAATAAAGGCAGACTGGGGGGTGGGGGAAGACAAGGTGGGGAGAGAAGGCAGCAGCTTTGAACTGACAGAAGGTCACCCTGTTCCTATGGGGAAGGAAAGGACCGAGCCTGCAGTCCTTATGCCGAAAGAGGGCATTGCAGGTGCATATGGACTGGAGGGTTGGCCCTAATAAAGGGAGGAGCAGAAGCAAGCGGTCTACAATATGGGAGTGATCCAAGGTCCATTGAACTCAGTGGAGAGAATCCCATTGACTTCACTGTGCTCTCGGATCAGCCCGTTGGCGCTGGGCAGTAAATATATCCCACCCTCGGCGCTCTCGACTGCGAGGCTTTTAAAAACAGTGGGGAGAAAATATGGCTTCTTCCTTGCTTGGACCCTGCATTGCAGCCCCGGGGCAATGAGGGCCCACCAGGGTCCAGACCAAGACCCGTGCTCCCGTGCCTCCTGTCCACGGCAATGCCGCCAGAGCAGCAGGTTACAGCTGGGCTGGAAGGGCTCCTGTAAACGAGGCACCTGCCCCATGTGTGACAGTTTTGAGGTCCCCACGGCTTCCTTCCAACCAGGCCCCCGTGTTCTTTGCTCCGTCCCCGGCTGGTGCCACTTTAAAAGGTCGGCGTTGCAATGGCCTTCAGGGAACGAAACCCCAAGTCCAGTTCGAGGTCCAAGGCCAGGGGAGCAATTTTATAAGGCCCGGGATTGGTCTCTAGGGAAAGGCTGTTCAGAACAGAAAGCCGAGCACCTCCCCTCAACTCCCTCCTCTGCCCCACAAATTGGGAGAGGAGGAGCTGGAGCGTGGTGGCTCTGAAACGAAGGGGAATAAGTCCCAGCCATGCTAGAAGAAAACCCTCCGTCCAGCACGGAATGCCTTCCCAGCTGTTTCAGGGGCCGCTACAGCTTTCTCCCGGAGGAGATTACTGTTCCACTGTTCCCCTGCGGGCCTCAAAACACTGGAGCGTGGATACTCCTGGGCAAGCAGCAGACCTGGGCTGGATATGGGTGAGATCCATCTGTCCCACCTTCCTCTGCCAGGAATAGGTTGCTTGCTAGTGTCTAGCTGGCCATCGAGGGCTTGTCTCTGCTCTCCGGCTAGGGTAGAAGGACCGGCCTTGCTCCACCCAAAGAGACCCAGGGATTCACAAACGCTGTGTTAGAAAACCCGCCCCACCCAGGGAAAGAAAGCAGAGCAGCGTGTGGCTTTGGGCCGGAGGCAGTGGTTAGGGACAGGGTTATGGGGCTGCTCGCTCTCCCACTTTTGGACAGAGGGGGAAGAGGGTTCTCCCCACTCACGGGGGAGAGGAGTGAGGTAAATCTGTGCTGGGATTTTGGAATCAGCAAACAGCCATCCCACGGTTAGAGCTGCCACCCTCCCTCCTCATGCCAACCCCCCGAAATCATGGCGGCAGAGACTGCTCCCTCGTGGCTGACTATCCCTTGTTGAAGCCTTTTGATCCTGATGGAATTCCCCCCCACCTCCCCCCGAGCCCCCGCCATCATTCCCTGGTTTCAGGAAGAAGGGACGAGCTGTGCATTTCTTCCTCCTCCCGGAAGTAGGCGGGCTTTCCCTGAGAGCTGGGCGATTGCTGTGCTTTGATGGGGCAGCTGGCAACCATGTGGGCGATGCTCTGGCAGAAGTGGCATTTCTTGGGCTGCGGCGGCAGTTTGCATTCTTTGGCATGGTGGTCCAGCCCCCCGCAGTTGTAGCATCTAGGAAGAGGAAAGGGAGAGAGCCTGAGACCCAGGGAGAGGAAGTCAGTCGGCAGAGGGGATTCCGACTGCAAGCGGCTTTCCAAGGTGCCTCATCCCCCTTCCGCCTGGAGCATGATGCTCTGCAGCACGTGGGTCACGCAGGCCAGGAGACGCGTAGAGAGTCAGTGGTGGCTTTGTGCTCCTCAGACGGGGACTGAGCGCACAGCCTCCCACCCCAAAAGCACAGGGAAAAGTCCCATAGGCTTTGTCTACACTGCGGAGCTCTTCCAGGGTACCTCCGGAATCCCGGAAAAGCACTGCCATGTCCAAGGAGCGCACCCGCTTTTACAGAACAGTTCCCGAAAAAGCGGGCGCATTCTTTCGGCATCTCTGTAGTCCTCATTGTACGAGGAAGAAGGGCTGTTCCGAAAGAGGAGGTTTTCCCGAAATTTGGCCCTGTGTAGACGGGCCAAATTTTGGAAATGCCTGGGG